CTGGCTCAGGCACTAACAGGAAGCAGTGGCCCTTCATGGAAAGGAAAGCACTAGTGTGTTCTAAGAGAAAGCACTAGTTTTATTTCAGATGTGAAGGGCACAGCTTTTTTTTTTTTTATACAATTCTGCATCTTGGATGATAGGTCATGTCAGTGCCTATTCCTCTTCTCTAAAGTACTCCCAAGGGACATCAGTCAAATCCCTTCCCTTATTCTATTAAATTAATTTTAATTAAATTTATTTATTTTAATTTATCAATATACAATGTAGTTGATTTAGCGGTCCCTTTACCAATTCCTCCCTCCCCCCTCCCTCTCCCTCCTACCCCCATCGATATCAATCTGTTCACTGTCTTAACAAGTTCAAGGAATTTTTGTGATTGTTGTGTCTTCTTCCACCCCCTCCCGTTAATTTGTGTATATTTATTTATTTGTTTTTATTGGCTCCCACAGAAAAGTGAGAACATGTGATATTTGTTTTTCTGTACATGGCTTGCTTTACTTGAACTCAGTCCATGTTGCTGTGAATGGTAGTATTTCATTATGTCTTGTAGCAGAGTGGTATTCCATTGTGTAGATGTACCACAGAGTCCTTATCCACTCATCCAATGATGGACATCTAGGCTGGTTCCAACTCTTGGCTATTGTAAACAGCGCTGAGAAAAACATGGGAGTGCAGGTATCCCTTCGATATGATGATTTCCATTCCTCTGGGTATATGCCCAGCAGTGGGATAGCTGGGTCATTTGGTAGATCTATCTGTAATTGTTTGAGGAACCTCCATACCATTTTCCATAAAGGCTGCACCATTTCGCAGCCCCACCAACCGTGTAGGAGGGGTCCTTTTTCTCCGCATCCTTGCCAGCATTTATCATTCTTAGTCTTTCAGATATTAGCCACCCTAACTGGAGTGAGATGGTATCTCAAAGTGGTTTTGATTTGCATGTCCTGAATGCTGAGTGCTTATTTCTATTTTCAAGAAAATCTTTTTGTGACAAAAAGTCACAATAGGATTTTGACAAAACTATGGACACTTTCTTTTAAAATTATTCCCTTTATTGCTGGGACTAGGAGGCCAGCTGTAAGGGAGAGCTCTGTGCCTGTTGGGGTGGATCTCTGTCTCGCTGCTTGAAGATTCTGAGAGTGGATTCGGGCCCCATGAGGGACAGGAAAGTGTGGAAAGGGGTACACCTTCCTCTAGAAAAGAACACACTCTGAGAACAAGTCTAAGGTCTGTCAAGGTAGTGCTCCAGGAGAGCCCTGGGTCCCTTTCATCTCCACTGGGTCTTGGGGCTCCCTTGCCTATGGTGTGTGCACAGCCTTGATTGCCAACTGTGTGAAGGTTTCCTTGGCAGCCATAACATTGCAGCCTGGGAGCCAGGGCAAGTGTGTAAATGATTTCCTGGCAACTGCCTTGGAAGCTTGGCTCCCTCCAAGTTCTTCTCCTGGCTGAATTCTGGAGGAAGCAGAAGAGACAGTCAGGTGGTCGTGTTGTTGTTGTCTAGCTGTCAATTGTTATTAAAAAATCAGCCTGATTTTGTGGAATGTATCTTTGACATATTACAGGTGGGAGGGCTTCAGAAGAACCATAAATTGTCCAGGAATTGTTTCAGAGTAGGATGGCTGCCTTGTAAGGTAACAAACACTGTGTCACTGAGGTGTGCCAAGCAGGGGTGGTAGATGGGTTTTCTGTGTTGGGTGTGGAGTTGCCCCAGGCTGAACCCAACTCTTCAACAATGAAGCAAGTTTGGACTGCTGGCACAGGTATGATTCTTTTGGGTCACTACTTCACGGTATTGGTCGAGTTTCCTGGGACCCCAGGCAAACATCTAGAGATGATTAACACAGTTTAATATTTCCTAATGATGGTGAGTCATCTCTACCTTGTCTTTCTATTCCCAGATGTGGGAAAGCGGTCTGCTGAGAATTCCGTCTGGAGAAAGTGCATGTCCTCACCCCCAGGGTGTGTGGTGTCCAGGGAACCTGCAACTCTCACATCTGGCTTTGTCTTCTTCCTGCCCTAATCAGGTTGCAAACTGCGGAGCTGGTTCGTGTTCACCAAGCCCTGCAGGAAGAATTTTAGGTCTCCAGCATTGACCCTGTCGTGATTTGCTGTAAACTCTGTCAGCCCTTGCTCTTCAGTCCAGAAATCTCAGGTATTGTAATTTCCATATGGAAAACAATTTGCATATCATCACCATCATCATCAGGGGATAGTTTGGCATAATCTAAAAGCTTTGGGGTCAGATAGAACTTGGTTTGAGTCTTGGCTTCATTACTTAGTAGCTGAGTGACTTTGGGGCATGTCCGTTCTCTAATCTGAGCCTCAGTTTCTACATCCGTCAGATAAAGTAAAGGCCACTGAGGCCACATCTTGACAGTGAGTGTGGGCACTGGGACTTCACTGATGTGCCTAAGCCTGTCCACAGGGCTCCTGGATGCTGAGCTTACATTAGTAGCCAGCGGGATTGACCTGTAGACACAGATGGTCTACAAATCAAGCATTTCACTAAGTCTGAATGGCATTTCCATTGAATGAATCCAAATGAAGGACTTCTAACTGCATTTTCACTGTTTATCCTAGTTCTTGGTGATGCATAACTTCATTTCTTTAAGTCCCCTAGAATATAAAATCAAGGATCAATGTTCAGTGGCTCAAAGTTCATGAGCTTTGGAGGCAGATGCACCTACAATTGCACCTCAGCTCTGGTCTCCCTGTCTAGGGTGAGCCACTTCACCTCTCCAGATACCAGTTTCCTTGTTTGTAAAGTGGGAATAGTAACAACTGTTTGCAGGTTTGTATCTAGCACAGAGCTGGCACTCCCTGCATGGGGGCCAGTATTATCTCTGAGTGCCTCCACTCACGTCTCCTCCAGTTCTCACAGCACCGTGCAAGGCAGGCAGGGCTGGTAACCTGTCACCTCCTTTCACAGGTGAGGACAGAGGCTCCGTGAGGCCACTGGCCTTTCCTGGAGGCCCTTCCCCTCGTGGGCAGCCCAGCCCTACTGTTTTCTCCAGGTCTTCCTCCTTCATGAGGTCAGCACCTTCTCTTCCCTTTCTCCATTGCCCTGGAAAGACTGACTCACATAATCAAAAAGAACTTGATTGCACAGGGTAACAGGTGCCTCTTATTGCCTCAGTTAGATTTTCATTTCCTCAAGGGTTTAAATTGTATTTTTGTCTTTCAGAAAATGATAAAAGTAATAGATGATGGTGGGAAGAACTTTGAATAGTATAGGGGGGTGGAAAGTGAAAAACAAAAGTTCTCTAATCTCCATTCCCACTTCCCAGAGGTAGCCATTGCTAATAGCTTCTTGTCTGTCTTTCCAGAAATAGTCTATGCTTATGAAATAATATATATAAAAATGAATCACGTACAAGAATCATAAATAAGCATGTATTATTCATTATAAACAAATTATAACAAATATGAATCTTTAATATGTGTATAGATATGTGTATATAATTATCATTGTTCTGTGCAAGGTCTCTCTATCTACCTATCTGACCTTTTCCTACTCACACACGATCCATCTGTTCATTATTTATCCCCAGTTCACTCTCCCATTTTCCTCCTTTCTGTCACAGGCCACCATTCTAAAGTGATATATATTTATGTTTTATGATATATTATTAAATATGATTACATTACTGTATCATTAATGCAGAAATGCATTGTACATTTGTGTGTGTATCTTGGAGGTCGTGATTCCATATCAGTGCATGTGAAGCTGCCTTACACTTATCGACAGCTGCATGGTATTCCAGTGTACAGAGATACTATTGAGCGACCATTGCACTTTGTAATTTGCTTTCTTCTACTTTTTCTTTTTTAAACTTGATACATAATTGTACATATTTATGGGATACGGAGTTGACTATCATTATTTCTGTAGAATATGTGATAATCAAATCAGTGTTATTAGGATGTAATTCATTACGAGTCATAATTATTCTTTGTGTCCATCACCCAATTTCTCTCTAACCCCTCTCCCTTTTCCTTTTTTTCTTGTACTTTTACAAATGACACCACAATGACAATTTTTTTACAAGCACATTTGCACTTGTGAGTTTGTTTATAGGATAAGTTGTCATTCTTAGTAGTAGAATGTTTACTTAAATTCCCATTGATATTTTCAAACTACTCTTTAAAGAGAGAAGACAATTTCTATGCTCACCAAAAGTGTGCAGAGTAGAATCTAAATCTTTTGGCAACAAACTGGAGCTCTTTTCATTAAACTGTTAGGTTTTTTAAAAAAAAGCCCATCATGGATTCACACAACCTGTGCAGAGACACAGCTGCTCTGTGAAGCCCCTGAGGGCAGGAGTGGACACCAGCTCACTGGAGAGCACGTAGTCACATCATCACACCTCACTGCTGGGGAAGCTGGGAAAGGTGGCCCACCTGCGCTCCCCTGGAATCCCGTAATTACAGGAGGAGAGGGTGGGGCATGGTGGACATCAGGTGGCGCTGCCACCCACGGCCAGTTGTTGGACTTTATCCTGAGGTAAATGTAGGTTTGGTAAATGTAGAAGGACCCTCCTACATTGGACAGCTCCCCACTGACAAAGACCACTGCCAGGCACTCCTGCAGTGGAAGTGGGCATGGGGACCTGCTAAGTGCCAGGTACTAGGCTGGGTGTTTTCCCTGCCTCCCTCCCAACCACAAGCCTGGAAAGTAGGCCCCTGAATCCCCCATATGTGCATGAGGCTTAACGATGTGTGCCCAAGGCAGAGGATTGGAATGTACATCTGTGTGGTGGCACAGCCCACACCATCCCTGTGCACAGCAGCGTGTGCACACCCACTGCAGCTGTGTGCAGACGCCTTGCCTGCCTCCACCTTGGCTCTTGCTGGTGGGCGCACAGCATGTGCAGCCACACGCACCTCGCCTAACTCGGACTCTCTTCTCATTTTCCAGGCCCTCTCAGCTTCGTGTCCTGCTGCCGTGGCCTTGGTGTTGCCCTTCCCTGGTGGTCAGTGCAGGGCTGCCCCCACCCATGCAGTCCCCAGCTGCCTGTGCTGGTGGCCTCCGTGATCTCCTCTTTGGAATGTGGCCTACACATTCCCCACCTTCAAGTTCCAGTCTTGCTGTGAGAGCATTGACTGGAGGCACATTAATGCCCTGAACTTGTACTATGTGGCCCCGGAGGTGGACGTGGCTGCCCTGCAAGAGAACATCACCGGTGTCACCTTCTGCAACATGGAGCAGGAAGCCTGCAGCTGCTGTAGGCAGCCTGTGGACCTGGTGCTCCTCAAGGTGCTGCGTCTGGCTCAGCTCAGCATTAAATACCTACTGCACTGCCAGGAGGGCCTGAGTGCCGGCATTGCCCAGCTCGAGGCATGGCTGCAGGCCAGCCTGCACCAGCAGCAGCAAAGCCAGGTGGAGCTGGGATGCCAGGCTGATGAGCTTAAGGTCAGGTGGGAGGAGAGCCACTGGCATCGTAAGATGATCAGCACCATAGAGAAGATGTAGGTACCTTTTGTAGCCTAGAGTAGTGGCTGGCAATAGTTCTAAATTCATTCAATAATAATTCTTTTGTCTTATCTATTTGTTCCTAAAGCTTGGTCCCCTCATTTTCTTTCCACTCTTCCAGTTCTTTCCTGCTTCTATTTCCTTATGATGGCTGATTTCTGCCTCTTTTGAAGAAAAGCAAGAAAGATGTAATCAGTAATTCCACATTATAGCAAACATTTACCAAGGACCTGCTGGGCCCTGGTCCACGCAAGTCACTATGGAGACCCAAAGAACATTTATCCCCCAGCGCCCTCTGTGTGGACTTGGGGACGGCCAGTCTAATCCAGTCTCATCTAATTGTAAAGTCCCCTGAGGATAGGACTTGTCTTTCTTCATATCCCTTCCAATGCCCAGCCTGGCTGGTGCTCAGTGAGCATGCGCTGAGGGAATGAGTGATGAATGAGCAAATGAAGCAAGGAGCAGGGCGAGTTTGCATATTTTCATTCCACAAGTATTTACTGAGCACTTCCTGTGGGATGGGTTCTGAAGCTTTCAGAATCAGACCCGGTCTTTTGTCCTCAAAAAGCAAACTAACAGTGTAGCATAAGAAGATAAGGTTCAAGTTCAAATGCCCTCAGAGGGTGCTGATTATTAAAGCCAATTGCAACTCTCTGCTCTACTTTATGCCACAAAGGTCTGGCAAAGATAATCGACCTTCCTTTCTTTACTGCTTACAATTATTTGCCACGTCCGGGAAGAGGTCATCCCAGCTCGCACACCATAGTTATGGGAAACAGCTGGCACTTTGGCCTGTGAGATTCACATGTATCGTGGGTCTCCTGGGTAGTCTGTGACCCGAGTCTCCCTGAGGTTTGCTCCCTGTGCCCACCTGGAGCTGTCTCTGCCTCTCAACCTCCCTCTGAGCTTCCAGCTCCCCTTGGGTCCACTTTAGCTTGGCCCGAAGCTCTTCCAGCACTTCTTCCGCTGGCTGTCTCTGCTTCTTCTGTTTTCCTGTGGGGTCCATGCAAAGAGAGGCTTATCAGCTTAAGTCAAAAGTCATTGGAGTGTCGTTTCTTGCCGCTTCGATCAGTCACACCTTGGTCTGAGACCAGCTTTGCTACTTAGTACATTGACTTTGGGTCAGTGACATAACCTCCCCGACCTTCTTTTCTCCAAACTGCAAAATGGAGGAAATAGTAGCACTAAACTCAGAGGGTTACTGTGAGGATGAAATGAGATAATGCAAGGTACTTAGCACAATGCCTGGCTCAGCAGCTCCATATGTGTGAACGACTACTGTATTGTCACTTAAATAAGTATCTTGACAGTAGACACCTAGAAATGTAAATGTAAAATTCCTAGAGTAACAGAGGCAGTGTACACACTAATTATTAATACAAAGAACGTAGCTTTGTATCCTGACAGCAATCAGGAGTTTAAAGTAATGAAAAGTATTGTAGTTGTAAGTTCACTCTTTTCAATAATACAGCATAACTTAAGTGTGTCATTTCAAATTTCAAATGAAAACAAGGCAGCATGTGTAATAAAGTCACATTTTAACCAAGGTTGCTTTAAGTGTATACTTTACATTTTTTAAGTTAAAAAGAATGATGCAGAATGAAGTATAAAAGAACATTGTAACTACACACAATGAAAAGGGTATCAGTGGTACTTGAACATGTGTTACTTTTTAAAGTATGTTTAGTTTTTATTAGACAGATGGAATGTGATCAAAACTCTAAGCCTTTTTATGGAGAAGAGATGTGGCCTTTCTCAGGTTGAAGTTTTTGGAAGCAAACAATTTTTAGATGTAGTAGAAATGAATTTGATTTAATAGAGTGAATTGAGGTGAGTGTGGCATAGGATAGCTGGGCTTCTGAGAAGCCAGCTGCCCAAGAATAAAAAGGTCGTGAATACTGATGAATCCCTAGTAACCTTAAGAACACATTTCCCCTCTCCTTACAGCACTTTACATTAAAGAAATAATAAGAGATGTGCACCAAACTTTACATGTAACAATATTGATCATCATGTGATTTCTAATACGGAAATTTTTGCGTGAACCATATACGAGGGTACTTCAAAAAGTTTATGGAAAATAGAATTAAAAGATAATATGAATCTCTCCATGAATTTTTAGAAATATCCTCATATTCAACAGGAGGAAATTGTGACATAGATTATGATAGCCACTTGATGGAATACGATTCAGCCTTAAAAATCATGTTTTCAAACAGTAGTTAATGACACTGGAAAATGTAATACATTCTGAAATGAAAGTAAGCAATGGTCAAAGTGCATAATACTATTTGCTTATGTATGTCTTATTCAAAACCCTAACAAACAGAGCAGGGGAAGGCCAGGAACCGGGGTGGTTCTCACATATGCCTGATAAGAACTATCGCAAAGGACTCTGCAAAGCCTCAACTTTGCACAAAGGCCTTTACAATCTTATGGAGAAAATAGTTCTGTGAGGACATCTGCCCCGCGATTGCCTGTCCAACCTTGGACTGGCGTCACCCTGTTATTGATCCTTGTAGCCAAGGATAATTATCCCAAAACAAGTAAGTAATCCTCCATCACTTTTCCTTTAAAACCCTTTGTCTTCCTTTACCTCCCTGAACACGCACTTAGTTTACTATCGCCCATGTATTCCCCTTGCAATGCCCTATTCCCGATGAAACTCTTTTAGACAGCCTCTCTGTTTGTTTTTCAAGTTGACAGTCTACAGGCAAAAATGATAGAGAAATACACCCAAATATGAACTGCTGGTGCTACTGTCTGTGGTTTTCATTTTCTCTTTTCTATCTTCCTGCATTTATATGTTCTACATAAAGATGTACATATTTTTAATTCATTAATTTTTTTATTGCATATTGTATTGGATACAGTTTGTTGTTTCAATACATGCATATATCGTATAATGATCCAATCAGAATAGTTAGCAGAGCTTTCACCTAAACATTTGTCATCTCTTTGTGGTTATAGCATTCAAGACCCTTTCCAGCTATCTTGAAATATACAATACAATACAATAGCTTAGCTGTAGCCACTCTAGAGAACCAGAACCTATTCTTCCTATCTAACTGTAACTTTCTCACTTTGCTTGCCACCTTCTCCCCATCACTTGTCACACAGGTGGCACTACATGAGGGAAAGCAATGGGGAGGACAGGATTAGATCACCTGAGTCAGCCTGGGATTTCCCCTAGCCCAACATCCTGTTCTCGAGGGACCCCTGGGCTACTTCCGAAAGGAAGAATTCAATTTCCTGAGGAAGGCAGTGATGCCCACCCAAGCTGCCCATTAGCATCACCTGGAGAGCTTTAAAACACTGCCCGTGTCCCCGGGAACTGTGAGCACTGACTGAATATGGGATGATACTAAGGAATTTCTGTTGGTTTTTCAGGCTGTGATGATGCTGTTGTGTGTCTGCTTAAAAGCGGGAATCCTTGCTTTGTAGAGATAGAAACTGAAATATTTGCAGATGAAATCACATGACTAACATCCTTCAAAACAATCCAGGTGTGTGTGAACGTGGGGAGAGAAAGACGCAACAGCACGGCCGTGAGTTGACAACCGCTGCGCGGGGCAGTTTGCAGACGAAGGCTCGTGACGTCACTCTCTCTACTTTCGTAATGTTTGAAATTTGCCATAACAGAAAGTTTGGAAAAATACCAAGTCTGGGTCTCACCCCAGGGTTGAGAACCACCTGAGGCAGAGGACAGCGAATAAATAGCATCTGTGACTCCACGTCCCTCTGCTACGGCACTGCAGACACTGCCAATCTGTCATATTGTCTTCTCACTGTAGAACCTCAGATTCTCCACCCAGCTTTGGAAGCTGCCCTGACGAGTTAACCAGAGTCAGGGGGCGGATTACTTGTATCTTTGCACAAAGGCAAACGTGACAGAATTTGACAGTTGTTCCCTGTACCCATCTTCCCTTTCTTCCTCACTAACAGAAACCCTGATTTTTAGCTGGTCATGAGGCCAATCGGAATAAACCTCATGTCCCAGCCTTCCCTGGAACTTGGTGTGGCCATGTGACTAAATTCTGGCCAAGGAAATGTAAGCAGAAGTGGTGCATGCAAGTTCGGGGACGGGTGGTTAAAAGAAGTTATGCCATTCCTCACCCACCCTCCTCCTGCTGACTAGGATGGTGGACCAGAGAGCTGGACCTCACGCAGCCACCTTAGACCATGAGGCAGAAGCCACATGACGGGAGTGGCAGAGCAGCACAGGAAAAACTGGGTCCCTGATGATTGTGGCGTTGCATATCAGCCCCAGGTTGCTTACCTCCAGACTTTGTTAGAGAGAGAGGGAAACTTCTATCTGGTTTAAACACTTGTGACTACAGGATTGTTTTCTGCTGTCACGGTTTACTTTTACTGTAACACCAAAGAGGTGATAGTTGCTGGCCGTGGTTAGCAGCAAAGGTACCCATTGGGAATCCAGACTCTGTTCTTCCTCTTTCCGCATTTAGTGTGTAGCTTATGTTAATTCTCATGGTTGCAAGATGGTTGCCCCAGCCCCGACCATCACGACCATGTCTGATGGAAGAAGTAAACAAAAAGGCCCCTTCCTGAGACGTTTGCTGATATATTATCAGTCAAACGTCTGTCACATGGGCACCCACAAGTGCAGGAAGGCTGGGAAAGCGATGACTAGTTTCACAGTCTCCAGAGCAGAGGTAGGCAAAGGAGGACACAGTTGGGCGTGGATGTGGGATGAGCTGTGCACCAGCATGTGACACCACGGGTCACAAACAACAGCTCAGGCTTCACGGAAGAGAGAATTTGTCAGCGGGACAGACAGAGCATCGCACAGAGCTCACGGCAGGGGAGCAGCCGAATCTGAGAATGAACTGGAACGAGAGATGTGAATGTGGCCAGGAGTTTCCCTCTTCTGTGTGTCTCTGTTCCTTTCTCTGTATCTGCTTCATTTTGCTCTTTTACTCTGAAGATCAGCTTCTGCTGCTTATCTGTCCCCCGAGGCAAAACAAATAAACAAACCAAGAAAGCCCAGAACAGTCAGCTGCCAAGGGCTCTAGACTTCACTCATTAGCAGTGCAGCCCTCTCCACGCAAGCCCGGAGAGTTGGCTGTGGCTGTGGGGTGAGGTCGCGTGTGGCTGCCTCCATGGGAAAGGAGGAAGGAAGAGGCACGTGGACAAGGGGCTTGAGCAGACAGTTCAGTGAATGTCCACATCGTGCCTCCTGGCAGGGGTCGTCTCTGGCCTCCTTCCTCCCAGGGGGCACATGGCTCAGGTGCCGACGTGGTGGGAGGGGAGCCTCTACCTTGCCCTGTCTGTTTTCCATTAATTGTACCAGTAGTACTGACCATGTGCCAGTCCCACCCGACTTCCATGGCACTCCCATCCTCATACCACAATCCGTCTTTGAAGAGGGGACATTCTTGCCTCCCCATGGCAGGAAAATGGAGCAGCTGCCATCCTGATGGCTGCTGTTTGAGCTTGTCGCCTTCCCCTCTTACATATAGACCATGGCAGATTTGTTGGGGGGCTGGGGTGGACATCTGAACTTTTTCTGTTTCCCAGTGGGTGGCCTGGAACATTGGCTGTCCCTTCTTTACTAGGCTCGTGTCGGGCTGGGTCACAGACTCTTTAAAACCATTGTGGTGACTGGGTCACAGACCCCTCACGTGCAGGCTGGGGCATAGACTCCCCCACATGCAGGCTGGGGCACAGACCCTCCACATGCAGGTTGCAAGCTAGGTAATTGGAAAGATCCTGGGAGCCGTTGGCAAGTTTGATGTGCTTTACTTGGACATGAGCTCAGCCCCAAGTCTCCTCAGCCAGCAGTAGCCAGCAACAGCCCTACTGCCAGCCCTACTGGTATCCCAAGGGCACCCCCAGAAGTGTCCCAGGGGCCCTTCCTGGTGGCCTTCTGGGAGCATCCCAGGTATTCTGAGGTTCAGAGCTGTTTGTCCTTTATATTAAGTCAATTAACCAGGGAACGCCTGGGTCAATCAGATAACCAAGGGACACTTAAGTGCACACACACAGGTATACAAATCTACATCAGACAATAGCAAAGGGACACCTGGGCACACATGCACAGTTAACATATTTACATCAAACAGGCTAGGTCATGCTTGCCAAGACTCGAGGGAATCAGCTGAGGGAGCCTGACTATTTCATTTTCCTTAAAGATAGGCAGACCCACCGTTCAGAGCAGAGTCCGTGCAGTGCTCCCTGCTGGCTGTAACCTGCTCTGTTCCACCTCTTTGCAGATCCAGACCTTGGCCCTCAGGAAGGTGGAGGGTAAGTCTGCATGGGCTGGTTTGTAATAGTCTGTGCTGTTGTCTTGGGCTTTTCTCTCTCCTCCCCTCCACCCCCCATCCATTTATAGGTGCAGGATTGGTGACAGCAGCCCCCAGCTGGGTGAGGGAGAGAGCTTCTGGGACAGATGGGGCTGCAGCCGGCATTTGTGCCGAAGGCTTTTCATACAGGTGCAGGTTTCTTGCTGGCTTGCTCTTCTCTGTAAGGGGATGGAGGCGGTGGGGAGGCGTGAGGAGCTTGGGGGTGATGATTGATGGGACAGGGTTCCCCAGGAGGCTCTTTCTAATTCACCATGCCTGTGGTAAGGCCTCAGGGTTGCTGGTGACCTTTATCTTGTTCCCAGTGTGTAGCAAGTTGAGACCAAACCCATGTGAATGTGGCCTGTTTGGCATATGTGCTCGCCTCCTCTTGGGCACCCTGGTGTACCAGTGTGTGTCTGAAGTCCACCTCTCCTCCCATCCCGTGCCTTGGGGCTAGATATTTCTTTCCCAGGCTTGCAGCCAATTCAGAGGGGCACTGTTTCTGTGGCCCTGAACTTCCTGCAAGCTGGAGCTGGAACGGTACATAATAGCAGCTGTGTGCCATGTGCTTCACCAAGCTCTTCAGGTTCAGTGTCTCATGACACTGTCCCCACTATTGAATGGGGGTTGGCATTATTATCCTCATTTTCTAGATGAGGAAACTGNGCCCTCTCCACGCAAGCCCGGAGAGTTGGCTGTGGCTGGGGGGTGAGGTCGCGTGCGGCTGCCTCCATGGGAAAGGAGGAAGGAAGAGGCACGTGGACAAGGGGCTTGAGCAGACAGTTCAGTGAATGTCCACATAGTGCCTCCTGGCAGGAGTCATCTCTGGCATCCTTCCTCCCAGGGGGCACGTGGCTCAGGTGCCGACGTGGTGGGAGGGGAGCCTCTACCTTGCCCTGTCTGTTTTCCATTAATTGTACCAGTAGTACTGACCATGTGCCAGTCCCACCCGACTTCCATGGCACTCCCATCCTCATACCACAATCCGTCTTTGAAGAGGGGACATTCATTCCTCCCCATGGCAGGAAAATGGAGCAGCTGCCATCCTGATGGCTGCTGTTTGAGCTTGTCACCTTCCCCTCTTACATATAGACCACGGGAGAGTTTTTTGGAGGCTGGGGTGGGCATCTGAGCTTTTCTGGTTCCCAGTGGGTGGCCTGGAACATTGGCTGTCCCTACTTTACTGTGCTAGGCAGACCCACCGTTCAGAGCAGAGTCCGTGCAGTGCTCCCTGCTGGCTGTAACCTGCTCTGTTTCACCTCTTTGCAGATCCAGACCTTGGCCCTCAGGAAGGTGGAGGGTAAGTCTGCATGGGCTGGTTTGTAATAGTCTGTGCTGTTGTCTTGGGCTTTTCTCTCTCCTCCCCTCCACCCCCCATCCATTTATAGGTGCAGGATTGGTGACAGCAGCCCCCAGCTGGGTGAGGGAGAGAGTTTCTGGGACAGATGGGGCTGCAGCCGGCATTTGTGCCGAAGGCTTTTCATACAGGTGCAGGTTTCTTGCTGGCTTGCTCTTCTCTGTAAGGGGATGGAGGCGGTGGGGAGGCGTGAGGAGCTTGGGGGTGATGATTGATGGGACAGGGTTCCCCAGGAGGCTCTTTCTAATTCACCATGCCTGTGGTAAGGCCTCAGGGTTGCTGGTGACCTTTATCTTGTTCCCAGTGTGTAGCAAGTTGAGACCAAACCCATGTGAATGTGGCCTGTTTGGCATATGTGCTCGCCTCCTCTTGGGCACCCTGGTGTACCAGTGTGTGTCTGAAGTCCACCTCTCCTCCCATCCCGTGCCTTGGGGCTAGATATTTCTTTCCCAGGCTTGCAGCCAATTCAGAGGGGCACTGTTTCTGTGGCCCTGAACTTCCTGCAAGCTGGAGCTGGAACGGTACATAATAGCAGCTGTGTGCCATGTGCTTCACCAAGCTCTTCAGGTTCAGTGTCTCATGACGCTGTCCCCACTATTGAATGGGGGTTGGCATTATTATCCTCATTTTCTAGATGAGGAAACTGAGGCTTGGAGAGATTCCTGGACTTGCCATCTCATGCACAGCTGGTGAGGGGCAGGGCTGGAATGTGAACTCTGATCTTTCTGCCTGCAGTGTCCATGGCTGTGACCACTGCTCCATCCTGTGTCTCTCTTATAGAGATGAACTGACTGGAGGGCTTGTTCTTTCTGGCCGGTACTCATCTGGGGTCCTGCACTTTTGTCTAAGTCAGGGATGGAGTCCAGGGCACCGTAGCCACTAACTGTTCCTCCTGTGTTCAGGGATCCATGAGGCACCGAAGGCTGCGGACACAGAGGAGGACTCTCCTGAGGAAGGTGGGGCCTTATTTTCTCTCCTGGGTGTCCAGTGCAGGACACAGATCTGCTGCCTGCTTCGTTGCTTAGTTCGTCTCTACTTAACTGTATCCGGACACCTGAAGCTTGGGTGGAGGGGACTTAGGACACGAAATAAATATTTCTTAAGCACCTTGCATGTGCCGGGGATGTTACACGCAGGTACTAACATGTGATCTCCTGGGTCAGTGATGGGAGACCCAGGCTCAGAGAGGGTCAGTAACTTGCCCAGAGTCACAGAGCTGGCAGGTAGTGGAGCCAGAATTTGGAGTAGCGTGTGATTCACAGGCCGCCCCACTGCGTCTCCCCTGGTACTGTCAAGAGCAGTGGAAGAGGTCTTGGAGTGTTGGCTTGAATAGGGACTTTGCTGTTTTCTTCTGCTCTGGGAGCTGCTGCAGACAGATCATGCAGGGCCTCGCTGATGTGCAAGAATCGGCTCAGCTCCCTCTTCAGAGCACTGGGCACCTGCTGTTTTATTCACCCCACTCAGGGACAGATTCTGATTCGCAGAGCTCTCAACCAGAAGTAGGCAGGGGATATAAAAGAAAAGTGAAAAGAGACAAGCTCCCTGACTGCAAGGAGCTCCTAGGATCGTCAGGGATAGGAAGCTCCCAGGAAAGATGAGAAACTGTTCCCTGGGCAACCTGCTGACCAGGGCTGGCCCCTCCAGTAAGGCTGTGATATGACAATTCCACAGTTACCCAACACACACGCCTGGGAAAGGACTTTACATGCGTCACCCCTCAGCCCTGGCCTGCCGCTTTATAGCAGTTGACACTGATGCTTTACTTGCTTGTTTTCTTACCCTCTGGATCAGTCTTTCTTCAAGTGTGGTCTGTGGCTCATCTTCATGAGAATCATCTGGGCCTGTTGAAATGCAGACTCCAGGGCCCTTCCCCAGACCTGTGGAATCAGACTGTGGAGGGTGGGGCCAGGGAGTGTGCACCTTAACCCATGCCCAGGTGATTCTGACGTGTACTAGCATTGGAGGGAGCCCTCCAGATGGACAGAGCAAAGGAAGAGAGCGGGGATCTGTCTTGTCCGTCAAATTATCCCCTGGACCAGAATTATCCCCTGGACCAGAACAGACGACCAGAACAGACCTGGCACGGCAATGGGGTGAAGATGTCAGGTGGGGGCTGGGGCTGGCAGAGGGAAGGTCTGAACTCTGGGGTCACAATAACACCCCAGGGAACACAATGCTGTCAGGGCTCAAGTGTAAGCCCCAAATCCCCGAGTTAACCCATGGCAGCACTGACTGAGGCCAGATCTTAGAGGTCCAGACCAGCAGGGGGTGAGAATCCTGAAGGTGGGTGGAGGGTCTGAGGTAGTGGTCCCCGGAGCAGAATCACTCCAGCTTGTGACCTAGGGATGGACACTCAGGAGGGGCCTGTGGTCCTGAGCTCACAGGTCGGAGACCAGGATCCCTGGAGGGGTGAGGGCGCATTGGGTGTGGGGGGCTCTGGGAAAGGAGGTCTCATGAGCATGGGCTGAGCTGGGCTATTGTGTTGTGCTGCAGAGCTTGAGGACTCCCGAGATGAGCTGTGGGAGGTGCTGGCCACTCTGAGGCGAAATCCCGCCCTGTTGAAGCAGTTCAGGCCAGTCCTGGAGGACACCCTGGAAGAGAAACTGGAAAGCATGGGGATAAAGAAGGTGAGTGCCAGAGCCACAATTTAGACACAAGGTGTCCAGCTAGGGCTCACAGACCCCTCATGCCCGTTGTACAGACCGGGTCACAAACCCTTCACATGCAGGCCACGAGCTAGGTAATAGGAAAAGATCCTGGGAGCTGTGGGTAAAAAATAAACAAGCTTTATTCAGAGCTAGGAGCAGCCACCCTCGTGACCTCTGGGAGTATCCCGAGAAGCAGGCAGGGTGCGTGTATCAGAGCTGTTAGTCCTTTATACTTAAGTCTATAACGTGGGACACCTGGGTGCCCCTACACAATGACATTAGAGAATAACCAAGGACCACCTGGGTGCACGTGGATATTTACATCAAATGCTCGGCAAGATTCTGGACATCTGAGGGGCCCTGACCGTTTTCCTACATTTTCCCAGCACAAGGTGTTCTCAAAGTGACAAACGATCAACTGTTTTTTATGTTGTAAACCATCCATCTCATTTGTGCCAGCACCGGCCCCTTTGGTGTCCAGGAAGAGAAGCCCACGTGCCCCTCCCCTCACAGCAGCGGTGTGCTCTCTTCTGTGTCCTCCAGCAGCTTCTTGAGAGCAGCCCTACCTGGCCAGTGAAGCCGCCCACGTCCTGACCCCTCAGTGTTCTGCACTCATTGGTTACTTCCTTCTGTGGCTCTAATGACATTTTCTGACAGAGGGAATTGAATTGGCTCCATGTGGCCTATGGACGGGTCCCCTTGGCCAAATGTCCATGTCTACATCCAGCATCTGTGGCCCAGGTGGCCCTGCCCACTCTGCAGGGTGTTGTGGGTGGGGCAGGTCCTGAAAGCTTTGTCTGGCACCAGCTAGTGTCTGAACGCCATTGTTCCTCCAGGCTTGTGCTTAACCAGTGCACGTGCGTTATCATTAGAGGCACCAATGAAAGCTATTATTAAATAAAAACACACCTTGTTATTCAGGTAGCCAAGCTTCATGTCGTTGTAAATACTGTCTGTGTAGAGTAAGTTCGGGCAAGATAGACACCTGGGTTCAACTTAGGAAGCGTGCTGAGGAGTCTTTGGTTTCAACCTCTGCTTAATGTCTCTTTGGCCCTATGCTCAGACTTGATTAGAACATTTCTTTCTAACCTCGAATGAATCCTCAACTTGGATTCATGTGCCTTCTGAGACCCTCTCATGGGCTCTGCATGAATGTCAGAAGCCCCAGCACCTCCCCATAGGAGTTGGAGGGGTACCTGGCTTTTGTTTACTGCAGTTTGGTTTCTCGAACACTCTTAGCCATGAGCAATGTGTCTGACGTGATGATAGTGCTGGGGGTACAGAAGGAGCAAGCCGTGGTCTCTGCTGCTAGGTTCAGTTGGGTGGTGGAAAAGCATGTCCCGTCCAAGTCCCTCATGCTGTGATGTGCGTGGAGTTGCGATGCAGCCCCCTGCGTTATCCTGCTCTGCACATTTTGATGGGGCTCCCAGACCCTGCGCCATCCCGCTTTCAGCCATGTGTGAAGCTGCTGCTCCTCTCATTCTGATCCTCGTTTCCTGCCCTCACCTCGCTCCCCCAAGAAAAGCACCAGGCGCCGATCACAGACTCCCAGGTCAGCCGCAGCAGGTGTGAGCGGTTTAGAGGGAGGATAAGGGGAGCCTCTGTGTGCAAAGGTGAACTTATGTCTCCTCCAGGATGCAAAGGGAATCTCGATTCAGACGTGCAGACACCTGAAGTCCCTGCTGAGAATCCAGCGGGAGCAGAAGGCTCGGAGGTTTTCCCAATTTCTGAGTCTGAGGGAAAAGCTCATTGAGGAAGCCACCAAGAGAGTGAAGGAGAGACAGGAGAATGGGGCCGTGGTGTCCCAGCCAGCCAGCCAGCCCCCAGGTATGCTGGAGAGGGTTTGTGCAGGGCTGTGACCTGGGAGGGTCCTGCTCTCGAGCCTCGTTTGCACAGGAGGGTGGAGCCCCTGTCTCCCATTAGGGACATTGCTCTGAAGGGCCAAGGTGGTAGAGTCCTCCCTGGTGACTGAGTCACAAGTCTTCTGTTGGAGAAGCAGAGTCCGGGGGTGGGGATGGGCAAGGGCACATGCCAGGGTCACTCAGGGAAGCTGGGGGAGAGCCAGAGCTGGGGCTGTGGCCAGCCTGCACTGTCCCTGCTCAACTACCCTCCTGCCTCCCTCAGCAGCTTCGTCCTCCCAGCTTGACTTGCTGTGACCATAGGTTGGGCTTCCCTTCAGCGTGGCAGCCTGCTGGGTTTCTGGCTGTGCATACCAGGCCTGTCAGTGCAGGGGACAGCACGAGGCCCGGGAGCACTAGGGCTACATGCGGAGGCAACTATCAACCAAGTGCAAACTTCCCAGAGCTCAGATGTGCCGCGCTGTAGGCAGTGGTGGGTGCGGGAGGCTGGGCCGATTCTGCACATGGACAGAGCCGCAGAGCTCCAGGCTGGGTCCCTGGGCCTGTCAGAGCTGCAGCTCTGCCACTTGTCCCTGCCTCTGGGGTCACGACAAGGGAAGGCCTGTGGTTCTGTTGGAGGATGAAAGCATGTGGGCCAGGAGCCTCAGGTCTCCATCTTCAGAGACCTTTTGGGAGAAGGGAAATTTTGTCCCTAGGTTCAAGAGCTCCCATTTCTAGAGGATTCCCAGATCCTTTGGCCTGCTGTAACTGGAGGCTCTGGGGATACAGGGTGATGGCCCGACACTCTCACGTCATCTTCTCAGCCATAGACAGATGCAGCTGGAAGGGTCCCCATTCTGTATCTTTTCTCCAGGCAGACCCAATCTGAGCTCTTCACACAAAGAAATTTTGCAGAGTTTGGTCCACGTATGTATGAGAATGGAAGAGACGATTTTAGTTGGTACCTGGGCCAATCATTTTATTTTATTTTTTTCTTTCTTTCTTTCTTTTCAAAAGATGACCAGTAAAGGGATCTAAACCCTTGATTTTGTGTTGTCAGCACCATGCTCTCCCAAGTGAGCCATGGGCCGACCCCTCACTCTGTGTCTTTTAACTGTGGCTTTAAATCTATTTACATTAGGGTTATTATTGATATGTAGTGACTAGTTTCTGCCATTTTGTTCCTTTTTTTCTGGTTGTTTTGTTGATCCTTTTTTTCCATTTTTCCAACCTTACCGTCTTCCTTTGTGGTTGAATTTTTTTTTCTAGCAGTTATTTTGGTTTCTCACTATTTATTTTTAGCATGTCTCTTACACATTTTTGTGTTAAGGTTACCATGAGGCTTACAAAAAACCTATTATAGTTATAACAGGTTATTTTAGACTTGTAACAATTGAACTTTGACACCTAAGAAAAAAGAAAATAAAGCCAAGTGTGTGCTTTGGCATCATTTCATCCCACTTTTTGACCATTTGTTGTTTCATGTTACATCTTTAAATGTTGCCTATCTCTTATACAGTTGTGTAGGTTAGTGTCTTGTTAGGTTTGTGCTTTAGTCTTCATTCTAAGGATGCAAGTAGTTTAGTCACCCCCCTTATGACACTGGAGTATTCTGAGGGTGACTGTGAACTTACTTTACTAATGAGTTATGTACCTTCAGATGTTTTCTTGCTGCTCCTAAGTGTCATCTTTTTTAAAAGATTGAAGAACTCCCTTTAGCATTTCTTGTAATGCAGGTCAGTGTTGAATATCCTTTGCTTCTGTTTGTCTGGGAAAGATTTTATTTCCCTTTGTATTTGAAGGTTAATTTTGCCAGATACCAAATTGTTGGCTGACAATCTTCTTTATTCAGCACCTGAATATATCATCCCATTTTCTTTTGATCTGTACGTTTTCTACTGAGAAATGTGCTGAGAGACATTTTGGGGCTCTGCTGAGTGTTACGTGTTGCTTTTCTCTCGCTGCTTTCAGTGTTCTTTCTTTGTCTTTGGTTTTTGCTAATTTGATTATGATGTGCCTTGTGGCGTTTCTCCTTGAATTGGATTTGACTCGCAACCTCTGGGCTTCCTGCACCAGGATGCTGTCAGCTTTCTCCATACTTAGGAGATTTCCAGCCATTATTTCCTGGAATGTGCTTTCTACATCTCTTCCTTTTCCCTCTCCTTTGAGAATGCCAACTCTACAGAGGTTATTTTCCTTGAGGAAGTCCCCTATTTGCTATTTTTCTGCTTTGTTTTTTTTTTCTTGTTCTGTTTTCTTTTTGCTCCTTTGATTCAATAATTTTATATATTTTATTTTTGAGCTCACTGATTCTTTCCTCTGTTTGATTAAGTCTGCTGTTGGAGCTTTCTGTTGAGTTTTTCAGTTCAGATAATGTATTCTTTATCGCTGCTTTTCCTGACATGGATTTGTCACCTCTCTTCCCCTGGGTGACAGAGCTGCAAAGAGGATTACTCAAAGCCCATTTCTTCCGAGCAGTGAGAGACCCCGAAGGGGTTAATTTCCCAGAACCCTCAAGGGAGAGGCATTCCTTCCTTAGGAAATTAACCACGAACTGGGGTTCTTTCCCTGCATTTAATCTCCAGACCAGGAAGTTACAGGAAAAGAACATAGGTGGGGTTTAACAGTAGAGGCTGGTAACATCAGTGAAACAAGCAAAGTGACATTCCATAATGCAATTTGCAAAAGGTTAGGTTGATCCACCAACAAAAGCTTGATCTTAGCAAACACTGTTTTTCCCTCCAGCAATTTCCCCAGTATTTACATATCAATCAAGTGACTCATCTTTCCTTGAGCCAGCAACCTTGCTGTGTTACAAAGACTTTAGCCTGAGGAAAGTTTCCTGTCTTTTGCAAGGTTAACATTTCTATATGTAATTCCAAAAGGTTAGGCTAAACCTGAGACTACAGGGCTTTGGAAAATAGGCCCTGTGAAATACATTTGCTTTATAAATGTTGGTATACTCCATATTTATTTCAAGGATTTCTATTCTTTTTTTTAATTGATTCAATTCCTTTGTCAAGTTTCTCATTCATCTCCAGGATTGTTTTCCTTATATCATTTAATTTTCTATCTGTATTTTCTTATGACTCCCTGAACATCATTAAGAGGGTTAATTTGAATTCTCTGTCAGACATTTCATAAATCCACTGTTCCTGTGGGTCCATTGCTTGTCTTTGTTTCCTTTGTTGGTGTTATATTTCTCTGTTTGTTCTTGATCTTTGTGTCCTTATGTTGATGTCTGGGCATTTGAGTAGACTGCTACCTCTTCTAGGTTTTACAGGTGTTCTTTTGTTGTGTTAAACCTTTATGGGTTAATATCTTAACTTTTTCTCTGGTATGTGGTTTTGGTTAAATCCAAAATTGGGGGAACTTCCTGTGGGGACCAAACTTGAGCTCTGTGGTTCTACTGAGTTGCTGCTTATTCTCTGGGGAAGGCTTTTTGTGAGGTCTGGATTTTAACTGTTGGCTTTTAATCACTTCCAGGTCTAATGAAGTCTGATATACCTGAGCTGTGTGGAAATTCAGGCCTGAGACCAAGTCTTCCAAGCAAACTGTGCCTTCTGCAGTTCTATTTCCCTGCCCAGTCTCCACTGAGTGGGGCTGTGTCAACTGGAAGGCAGATCAGCTGCCCACTCTGCACCTCAGTGTTCTCACAGGCCAGCCTCCCTCTTGCACTGTGTGTGGTCTGTATGTGGGTCGCTCACAATGACTCACAGGCTCTAGGTGGTTCCTTCAGTCAGCTGTGGCCACTGCTCCTATGTGGGTCCCCAGGAACCCTGTCAGTTGTTTCACTGACCTGGGGGCTGGTATGGTGCACTCTGAGGCCTTCTTCTCCCCTGCATACTTCAGGTAACTTCATGCAAAAGGCTCAGCAGTAGCTTTTGTTGGCTCCTGCTCCATGTGAGCTACAGCTTCTTCCACTTCTCACAAGGCTGGCCCTGAGATGGCCAGGGCTTGAAACCGTCAGAGCGGTTTCTTCTTCCTTTCACCGTGGCTTCTCCCACCTTCATGAATGCTGCAGGTCTCTCCCCCTCTTTCCCTGAGCTCAGCAGTCTCAGGTTGGCAGTCTTTACCTTTTAATAGTTATAAATTGGTCGATTGTTGGGGAGAAGGATGCTTGGGACTATGTATTCCACCATCTTGATAATGTCTCAACTGTATTTTTAATTGTGGTAAAAAGTACATACAATTTACCATCTTAACAATTTCCAAGTGTACTGTTCATTAGTGTTAAGTACATTCACACCATTGTGCAGCCTATCCTCGTAACTTTTTCATCTTCCCAACTGAAACTTTATACCCATGAAACAACTCCCCATTTCCCCCTTCCCCCAGCCCCTGGCAACCACCATTCTACTTTCTATTTCTATGAATTTAACTACTCTGGGTACCTCATATAAGTGAAATAATATAGTATGTCTCTTTTTGAAACTGGCTTATTTCACTTAGCACAATGTCCTCAAGGTTTGTCTATATCATAGCATGTGTCAGACTTTCCTTCCTTTTTAAGGCTGAATAATATTTCATTGTATGTGTATATATATATTTTGCTTATCCATTCATCTGTCAGTGATGAACACTTGGGTTGCTTCCAAATCTTGGCTATGGTGAATAATGCTGCTTTGAACGTGGTTGTACAAATATCTCTTTGAGATCCTGCTTTCAATTATTTTGGACATGTACCCAGAAGTAGAATTGCTGGATTGTAGGGTAATTCCATTTTTTGTTTTTTTGAGGACTCTCTAAACTATTTTTCACAGTGGCTGCACCATTTTATATTCCCAGTAACTATGCAGAAGGGTTTCTATTTCTCCACCTCCTTGCTGACACTTTTTAGTTTCTGGGTTTTTAAAATTTTTAAAAATATATATATATTTTTTTGTCTTTTTTCCGTGTCCGGCAATGGATTGCAACCCTCAGTGTTGCCCCCGCACCGGACCGGGGACCGGCAACGGGATTGCAACCCTCGGTGTTGCTCCCGCGCCTCGCTCAGCCAGTGAGCGGGAACCGGTCTGTATGTGGGATCCGAACCCCCGGACGGGAGTGCCGCCGCGCTTCCCAAGCGGCGCACTTATCCAGTGCGCCACTGGGCCGGCCCTAAAAATATTTTTAATGACTGTGTGATTGCATAATTTATTTAACCTTTTCCCTCCTCTTTTTGGTACTTTAGAAATAATCTTATAGGGCCGGCCCGGTGGAGCACTGGAGAGTGTGCTGCTTGGGAGTGCAACGGCGCTCCTGCCGAGGGTTCGGATCCCATGTGGAGACCAGTTCCTGCTCACTGGCTGAGCGTGGTGTGGGTGCAACACCGAGGGTTGCGATCCCATTGCCGGTCCCCGGTATGGGCGCGACACCGAGGGTTGCAGTCCCGTTACTGGTCAGTAAAAAAAGACAAAAAGGGAAAAAAAAAAAAAAAGAAATAATCTTATAAATATATATTTTTTGTATATATTTTTTATTTTAAACAGAAATACTGCACATTCTCACTCATAACTGGCTGCTAGGAAGGAAGGGAGGGAAGGAGGAAGGGGCGAGGGAAGGAGGGAAAAAGGAAGGAATGAAGGAAAGAAAGAAAGAGAAGACCGCAGAAATACGCTGAACTTTCAGAAGGAGAGATCAACCTAAGGATCCTAGAGATGAGGGAGGGAGGGAGGGGGTTTGGGAAGTGATAGGTCAGGCAAAGAGCATAAAGAAATATGACAATTTGTAAGAATGAATATGTTAATAATAAATAAAATTTTTTTTAAGTCTGTTTTTTATAGTGGCCATCCTAATGGGTGTGAAGTGACATGTTATTGTGGTTTTGATTTTCATTTCCCTAGTGATGAGTGATGTTGAGCATTTTTTCATATGCTTGTTGGCCATTTGTATATCGTCTTTGGAGAAATGTCTGTTCAAGCCCTTTACCCATTTTAAATTGAGTTATTTGGTTATTTTTGTTGTTGTTGAGTTGTAGCAGTTCATTATATATTCTGGACATTACGTTCTTGTCAGATGGATGATGTGCAAATATTTTCTACCATTCTGAACATTGTCTTTTCACTCTGTTGATTGTGCTCTTTGATGCACAGAAGTTTTTAGTTTTGATGTAATCCAATATATCTATTTTTTTCTTTTGTTGCCTGTGTTTTTGGTGTCATTTCCAAGAAACCCTTGCCAAATCCAGTGTCATGAAGCTTTCCCCCTATGTTTTGTTCTAAGAGTTTTATAGTTTTAGATCTTACATTTAGGTCTTTAATCGGTTTGAGTTAATTTCTTATAAGGTGTAAGGAGGCGGGTCCAAGTTCATTCTTTTGTGCATGTGGATATTGAGTTTTCCTAACACCATTTGCCAAAGAGACAGTTCTTTTCTTATTGAATGGTCTCGGCACCCTTGTTAAAAATCATTTGACCATATATGCAAGTGTTTATTTCTGGGCTGTCTATTCTATTCCACTGTTTTATATGTCTATCTTTATGACAGTATGACACTATTTTGATTACTGTACCTTTGTAATAAGTTTTGAAATCAGGAAGCTTGAGACCTCCAACTTTGTTCTTTCTCAAGATTGTTTTGGCTATTTAGAGTCTCTTGAGATTTCATATGAATCTTAGGATGGATTTTTCTATTTCTGCAAAAGAATTCAGTTGAGATTTTGATGGGAACTGCATTAAATTTGTAGACCATTTTGGGTAGTATTTACATCTTAACAATATTAAGTCTTTCAATCCATGAACACAGAATTTGTTCACATTTTATTGGTGTCTTTAATTTCTTTCAGCAATGTTTTAAAGTTTTCAGTGTACAAGTCTTTTGTCTCCTTGATTTAGTGTATTCTTAAGTATTTTATTGTTTTAGATGCTATTGTAAATGGAATTGTTTTCTTAATTTCCTTTTTGGATTGTTCATTGTTAGTGTATAGAAATGCAACTGATTTTTTTGTGTTGATTTTATATCCTGTAACTTTGCTGAGTTCCCCAATAATGTACAATTGGCCCCTCACAATGGCACACACCCCTCATTTTCCTCATTTTGCTTTGGACAAATGAAAACTTGGTTATGGATCAGCTCTGGCCCACAAGCCTGGCTTGTGTCTATAGACCACAGCAGTTCTTACATCTCACAATTGCATTCAGTGTGGAAATAGAAAAATCTAATTAGCTGCATTTTCTGAGACAACTCCAATAATGTCCTTAACTTATACATGTAGAGATGACATTGATTGGAAATTCATAACAAGCTTATACTTACAATCTGAAAAAGGTATTTTACCACCTAAAAACCTGAACCCACAATTTAGGAAGTAGAAGATGATTTGGTCTCATGGCTGGAACCTGGTAGTGGTGTGTAACTGAGATAAAAGTTAAGATCATTTTTGGCTTTGGAAAATCCAAAGTGAAATTATATATTATAATAAGTTGATTTGCATTCTATAATCAATTTCTAAGTTCATAGGGAATCTAAGTAAAGCAACCTCTAAGGTCAACAGAAAATTGAGTGTGATTCTGCACTTTTTTCTCTTCATGGTCAGTTTCCGAGGGGATCTGGCTGCAAAGGCCTGTTAATCCCTCTCCGGATTTAGGTGGAAAGTATGTGGAAGGCATTGTCCTGCACCTGTATGGCCTGCTCTGCTTCTGTTTTCATTCCAGTTGCTGTTACAGAAGTTACAAGCCTGTCTTCCTGCTGGAGGTAAAGGTGCAGGCTCAACATTTAGCATAATAGACAGAAAACAGAGCTGCTAGTGAGGGCACTAACATTTGTTAAATTCTTTAGGGAGGGGGATGCGTCTCTGATCCTTGTATCGCCTGCATCTGCACAGCACAGACACTAGTCATTGATAAGGTGAACCAGGCCAATTCTGAGTCAGTCACTGTGCCAGGAGTGTCTTCCTGCTTCTTTCCACCTAATGACAAGACAAGAGAGAAGAACTAACTCAGGCAGAGAGACAGAAAAAAAAAAAAAATGAAAGTGATAGAGAGGACTTGAAATAAAGGTCAGAGGGTGGTGAATGGAAGGACCTGATCCGGGGAAGAGATAATGAGGTGAAGTGTTCTGCCATTGGCCATGGCTCAGATGAAGCTGCATTTTATACTCAGTGGAGTCCATGAGTGGGATGGATCGAAAGGGTGATCTGAAAGAGTAGAGAGCTGCTCAGGGATTCCATGATTCTGACCGCAGTCAGAGATCTTACAGAGGAAATGGTGATCACTAAGAGTCCACTGGACCCGAAGATTCATCAGCCTTTTCTTTGCATTGGTTGAGCACAATAGCCATACGGAGGAAGTGCTTTGGGTTTCCTGACCAGAAGTGACAGGCTGGCTTAAAAGCTGCCACAGCTTCAGTTTTATTTTGTGCAGGACCAGCCAGCAGGTGACTTCCACATGGTGGCACTGTGGGCCACAAAGTGGATGGCTATACAAGTGCTTTTAATGGCATGTGGACGTCACAGCAAGAGATACTCTGGGTTCTTCCGGTCTGTGCCACCACCCGCAGTCAGGAAGGATTTGGCAAATGGTCTTATTCAGCCAGGCAGCTCTCTTATGTTTGAAAAACAAAACAAAACAAGAAACCCAAGCTTTTAAAGATAGGGAATAGAGCAGGACAGGACATGGTCTTTCTTGCTCTCCAGCTTACCCTTGTGTTGCCAAGGCCTTGCTGAGGTTTGCACAGCAAAGGCATTCAGCAAATGTTTGATGGGTTCACAACTGTACTGCACTCAAGAAGCCTCACTGTTAGGAGCTTTTCCCCAAGCTGCAAACATCTAACATGCATGGCAGTCCCATGCTGAAAGATCTTTATGACCTTGCTGCTTCCTCAGCTGCTGTATTATATCTGTCATTTTGTTTGTAGGTACATCTAATAGATTTGTCTGTACCTGCTGGATCCCTTTCCTCATTCCACCAATTTCTCAGACATATCTAGTCTTACCTGAATCTCAGCTTTGGCTGACATGCCCTTGAGTTGCCCTGTAACTGCTCCCAATTCCTCAGCTTTCCAGCTCATATACATACAACCACTGTCTCCATTATCTCTTCCGTCTCCACCACCACCTGTACCTCTACCACCTCCAGCATCACGGTTACCACCACCACCACCACTATCCATAACAACCACCTCCACCTCCACCACCTCCACCACCATCACCTCTACCACCACAACCACAACCAGCACCTCTACTACCATCACATCTACCACCAGCACCACGCCCTCCATCACCACCTTTACCACCACCACTACCTCCACCTCCACTACCACCACCATAACCACCTCCTCTGCTACCACTATTACCACCACCGCCATCATTACCACCATCTCCTCAAACATCATGGCCATATACTTATCCAAGAAATCTGAGGATTGTTGCCCACCCGTGAAAGTAGCTTCTATTGGAGAACAAGTGAAAAGGGCCTGAGGAAGGCAGTCAGGAGCCCCGATTCGAATCCTGGCAGCCACAGCCTTGTTTACAATCTTGGAAAAGTCATGGAATCTTTTGTTTTCTTATCTGTGAAGTGAGGAAGTTGGCAGAGATGGTCCTCTAGACTTACAGTATTCTATAATTCCAACAAGGCTGCAGGCTTTAGAAATTCACTTCTACCTTTAAAAAGGTTAGTCAATTTACTAATTATAACCGGAAAGTCTCTTTGATATTTAAAGATCCTCTTGCTTTTTCTTTGTTCTTTAAAAAATTAGAGCTGCCTCATTTTATAATGCCTGAAGCCTATATTTATAATCAGCATCTATTTCATGCTTCTGAGCCATTTTTTACATAATTGTCTTTTTTTTTTTTTGCTTTAGGTTAGTTCTTTTGTGGTTAATGGATAGCAGAAACAAAATGACTTTTGAAAAAGCCCTTTAGGGTTGATGGGGTTTGGCAGCTGTATCATTAGGGGCCCGTGTGGCTCTGCAACAGAACTGGGTCTCAGAAGAGGAAGGCAGCCCCATTCCAGGGAGCAGAAGGAGCAACTGAGGCCAGAGTCAGGTGGCGTGTGGCAGGTCGGCAGCAGTTTAGAAGGTGGTTTGAGGGTGGCCTCGAAGAAGCCAGAAAATGGTAGTCTGGATTCTAGAGAGGAGGAGGATGAGGTGTGTCCAGCGAGATGGCAGGGGGTGGCAGGCCACAGAACATGGAGGATGAGAGCACTCCAGGGTGGAACACAACCTTACCTAGGACCCACAGATTGGTGGTTCTGGGTGCACTTGGGTTTCACATGTAATGCTGCTTGTTGCATCAACACCTATGATGCTGAATCGTGTGTCACCCCTCTGGTAACACTGGCTTCCAGCGGCCCTCTCCCACGTCACTGGTGTGCTTTGTTGTTGATAAGCATAGATGCAGGCCTTGCCCAGAGTACACAGGAAGATGTGAATGGTGATTTTCTGGTCTTGTTCAATTGGCCATTTGGAATTTTATAATGTAAATGTAGAATGGCACATCTACAGACCACGTCTTCTCTGGAACGTTTTAGGCTGTAATTACCACATTCCTAGAATGTGATTTCTTTCAGTGTTGACACACCCCTGCTTCCACACACAGCCACCTGCAGGGAGGACAGCCAAGAGGCCTGTGGGTGGACTGAGAAGAGCAGTTTATGCCCATGTGCAAGGTATGCCCATACGTTCTCCGTCATGACTTAAAACCACATCGACTGGAGGTAAGAGATGACATCAGCTGGAGGGGCCCACTGGTGTTGCAGAGCAAGAGTCTTGAAAGCCCTCAGAGGACATAGGTGAGACCATTCCCCGAGGACTACTGGATACACTACTGGAATGGTGAGACCATTCCCCGAGGACTACATGGAGCCTAGGAGGGGTTGGGAGACTGTTCTGGATGCCAGCAGGGGAGGGGCACACAAGGTACCGATGCCTGGTCCCACTGATGTTGTGGAGCTAAGGCGGCACTATACACAGAATGTAGAAGGTGAGGGTTGACTTGTGGGCCCACACACATGGCGACAGACCGTTAGTCATCCAGAGCCCTCAACTTATTTTGTGAATAATGTGAGTGAAAGTCATCCCAAGTCAGCATGTTAACACCATTTTATGAGCCCACACCCATGGTTGCACACCCTGAGATCCACATCACCCTGGAATCCACACCCTGGGATCCACCCCCTGGGAAACATACCCTGGGATCCACACCCTGGGGTCTATACCCTGAGATCCACACCATTGGATTTACACCCTGAGGTCCACCCCCTGGGATCCATGCCCTGGGATCCGCACCCTGGGACCCACACTCTGGAATTTACGTCTTGGGATACCACACTCATAAATCTGTCTCCCCTTTGTGTTTCTCAAGCCCACAAGTGAGAGGTTGTGGGCACAGCATTCTCCAATCCCCTAGGAAACTAAGGTATATCTTCCTGGGATATCAATTTTATTTGAATATCTGAGGGGAGAAAAGCATTTAACTGGTAAGTAACTTTAACTTTACAAAATTGCAACAAGTGCAGGTATCTTATGGAGCAGAATGCAACTTGTGCACGAGTTCATGCTGAGAGCTGTCTGCTTACTTGGGTCTGGGCCCTGCGCGTCTCCAAGGACACAGGCTGAGTATCTGTGTGTGTGTTTTAAAAAACTGTTTATTATTATTATTAAGTTGTAATTCATATAACATAACTTTACCATTTAAAGTGTACAGTTTCGGGCCGGCCCGGTGGCGCACTGCGCTAGTGTGCCGCTTGGGAAGCGCGGCGGCGCTCCCGCCGACGCTCCCGCCGCGGATTCGGATCCCACATACAGACCGGTTCCCGCTCACTGGCTGAGCGAGGCGCGGGAGCAACACCGAGGGCTGCAATCCCGTTGCCGGTCCCCGGTCCGGTACGGGGGCGACACTGAGGGTTGCGATCCGTTGCCGGACCCGGAAAAAAAACAAAAAAAAAAAAAAAGTGTACAGTTTCGGGCCGGCCCGGTGGCGCACTGCGCTAGTGTGCCGCTGGGGAAGCGCGGCGGCGCTCCCGCCGACGCTCCCGCCGCGGATTCGGATCCCACATACAGACCGGTTCCCGCTCACTGGCTGAGCGAGGCGCGGGAGCAACACCGAGGGCTGCAATCCCGTTGCCGGTCCCCGGTCCGGTACGGGGGCGACACTGAGGGTTGCGATCCGTTGCCGGACACGGAAAAAAGACAAAAAAAAAAAAAAAAAGTGTACAGTTTCATGGTTTCCAGTATATTCACAGTGTCATGCAACCATCTCCACTATTCCCCTGTTTTTAAGGGGTATGCCTTGGATTGAGTGTCCCCCCAAAACTTGACCCCCATTGTGACAGTGTTAAGAGGGTGGGAAATCCTATTACAGTAATTGAAAGGCAGAGCCTTGAAGAGATGATTAGATTCTGAGGACCAAGCCTAGTGAGTGGGCTAGAAATAGTGGTCATGGGTGTGGTTCTGAGGGCTGAAAAAGGAGACTGCACGAGGAGCTATCTCTTTCTGCTCTGCCATTGGTGTCACTGTCACCACCACCAAGGCCTTTACCACCTGTGTTCCCTGGACTTTGGATTTCCTAGCGTCCAAAACTATAAGCAGTAAATTTAGTTTTCTTTATAAATTACCCAGTTCCAGGTCTCTATGTTATAAGCAACAGAAACACACAAATAGAGGGTCCTTTCATGAAAAAGTTTGGTAAGTGCTGCCTGCCTTTGTCACTCTGCATCCAGAGCAGAAATTTCAGCATCAGTAACAGGAGATAGGGAAAAACTATTATTTGGGGATAGGAGGTTGGG